CTTGGGCTTTTTTTAAAGTTAGAACAATAGAGGCAGCCTGAACGGGTGCTGTCAAGCACTCACTGAACCAGCCTTCCATAGCAGTTGCTGAGGTCTTGAAGCTGGATGTGGAAGCTCTGTGTTACAGCTAAAACTGAGGCCCTCTTCCAGCTGCTAGAATTGCATGTGAGACAATCTATTTTACTGAATTTGCCTTTGGCAAGGGTGTGTTTATGAGATGTTGCTATATTGGAAAGTTAATTAGTAGTAGTTAATATACATATTATTTTGTTAAGCATTTTGATAGGGATACAGTTAATCCAATTTGTTTCTTTTCTTTTAATTTTATCTGCATTTTAACTATAATGTATGAATAAAGAGTGTTTTGCTTCAAGGCTGGTAATTTAACCAATTGAATTGCATCTGGAACACAACACCTTACACTTACTTCTAAAATAAGAAAAAGTGAGGGTCTAGACTATCTTCTTAACATATTTTAAGGGTGTTTGGTCTGGTCCATAACAGTACTGTCTTTGCTCTTTGGAAGGGGAGGAAGGAACATCCCAGATGGGCATGGGTATCTCTAAGTTGTTTCATCCTGCATTCCATAATGCCTGAAAGGAAAAGTTTCTTATTAGAGGTATTCCTTTAGGGTGGCATGGTGGCTCAGTGGTTAGCATTGTTGCCTCACAGCACCAGGGACCCGGGTTTGATTCCAGCCTTGGGCGACTGTCTGTGTGGAGTTTGCACATTCTCCCTGTGTCTGCGTGGGTTTCCTCCAGGTGCTCCGGATTCCTCCCACAGTCCAAAGATATGCAGGTTAGGTGGATTGACCATGCTAGATTGCCTGTAATGTTCAGGGATGTGTAGATTAGGTGGGTTATAGGGGCATGGGTCTGGGTAGGATGCTCCAAGGGTCAGTGTGGACATGTTGGGCTGAAGAGCCTGTTTCCACACTATAGTGATTCTATAGAACGTTGAATGAGCTAGAGATTGAAGTGGAACTGAGGTTTGGGGGGTAAGGCAGCTCCGAGGCAGTGCTGATGGAGAGAGATGTCGAGAGTGTGCAAATAGCGACACAAGGCACTGAGCGTGGATCTCAACATGTGGAGAGAGCTCTTGTCTGAGGAAATCGGGGTGGGTGTGTGAAAGAGGCTAGAGATGATGGTCAACATGTCTACTGCACTGAGAATGCAAAACTCTATTGAAATGAGCAAGATGACCAAGAAGTGTTTATCCATGAAATCACACCATGGCATGAGTCAAGGGCAGGACTGACATTGCAGGACATTGAGACAAGCTGTTCCCATCAACCGATGACTTGCTGCTGAGAGGTAGTTTATGTAGATTTACATTGAATTTGACAGTTATTCAGTCCCGCTCGGCAAATCTGCTCCATATGAGCTCCCTCCTAATTTCCTCATCTCACCCCATTGCCCTGTCCTTCTATCCTTCTCTCCCTCATGTGCTTATCCAGCTTCCCCAATCAATGCTTCTCTGCTACTAGCCTTGATCACACCCTGTGAGAGCGAGTTCCACATACTTCCTGCTCGCTGAAGTCACGCAAACAGCCCCCTATGTAAACAGGAAGTCCAACCATTTTATATTTCCTCAAAATTGTGCTGGTTCATTGAGGCAACCTCCTCCCAACCAGAAAGCAGTAATCAACTGGCCATTTCGCAGGAGCAAGGGGAGGCCATACTGCCATTCCACCATTCTATAAGATTGTGGCTTATCAGTAGCTAAACTTCATCTGCTCACCCTAAACACTTAATTCCCTTAACCCCACAAATCTTTATCCATCTCAGTTTAGACATTCCCAATCGACCAACATCATCAGTGGATTTTTGTGGGAGAGAGAGTTCCCATTATTTGTGGAACTGTTCCTGACATCACCCTGCAGTGGCCTTGCTTGAACTTTGGAAGTTCCACATTTCTACCGCCTCCTTCCCCTTCTGCATTCACATCCGCAGAGGAAGTAATTTCTCTCCATCAACTCAATTGAATGCTTTAATCATCTCAATACCCTCAATTAGCTTTCTCCCTCATCTAGAATACTCAAGGGAATACAGGTCTGGTCTGTGCAACCAATCCTCTGAATTTAACCCTTTCAGCCCTGGATTCATTCTAGTGAATCTGCCCTGAACTCCCTCCAAAATGAACCTCGCTTTTCTGAGGTGCAGTGCCCAGAACTGAATACTATGCAAAAGATTGATTGATTGATTCTTACGTGCACCAAAATACAGTGAAAAGCTTTGTGTACAAGCAGTACAGGCAGATCATAGTGAGCAAAGGATGTACAGATCAAAAAGACTTAGACAGAGGCAGAGACAGTTGGGAAAAAAGTACAGGTTACATTGCACAGGGTGTGCACCAGGCAAGATCAACGTTAGCAAGATCAGCGTTATTTGAGGCTAGAGAGTCCATTCATCAGTCTAATAACAGTTGGGAAGAAGCTGTTCCCAAACCTGCTGGTGCGTGTGTTCAGGCTTCTGTATCTCTTTCCTGATGGAAGAGATTGTAGGAGATCATTACCTGGGTGTGATGGGTCTTCGATGATGTTGGCAGCCTTTCTGGGGTGCGACCTAACTGGGGCATTTTACAGAGGAAACAGCTAGACTGTGGTACAGGCAGTTGTTCAGTAAATCACTTAGTTAATTCAATCTATTCCATACCTAAGGTTATCCTTATTGTGTGACACTTACAGTTAATAATCCTGTAGTTCAAAAACATTCACTAAATCTTTGCCTTTATTTTTTGTCCCTGGAAAATTAACATAACTGGGTGATCGATGTTATCTGGTTCTATATACGTAGAGCACTGTTCCTAATATGAGTAGCTGCTGAATTATTTCCTGTTGAAACAATCAAGTTAATCTAGTTAATGCTTACTGGAGTTCAAAGTTCACATATAAACTACACTAGAGAGGCATGTGGGATATATCAGTGTTACAGTGAGGAGTGTGGGGTATATCAGAGCGTTACAGTGAGAGGTGTGGAGTATATCAGAATGTTACAGTGAGGGGTATGGGGTATATTGGATTGTCACAGTGAGGGATCCAGTGTATGTCAGAGCATTACAGTGAGGGGTGTGGTATATATCAGTGTTACAGTGAGGGGTGTGGGGTATATGGGAGTGTTACAGGGAGGGAATGGGGTTTGTGAGATTGCTACAGAAAGGGGTGTGGGATATATCTGTATGTTACAATGAGGGTTCAGATTTATCAGGCTATTGCAGTGATGGAGTGAGGGGTTTATCAGATTTACTGTAAGGGATGTGGGATGTATCAGAATATTACAGTGAGGGCTGTGGTGTATAAGACAGTATTGCAGTGAAAGATGTCGGATATATCAGTATGCTATAGTGAGGGGTGTGGATATATCAGAGTGTTACACTGAGGGGTCTGGGGTATATCAGAATGTTACAATGAGGTGTGTGGAGTATATCAGAGTGTTACAGTGATGGGTGTGTGATATAACAGTGTTACATTGAGGAGTATGGATATATCAGAATGCTACAGTGACGGATGTGGGATATATCAATGTTACAGTGAAGAGGGAGGTTTATGTGATTTATACAGTGCATTTTTTTCAGATCTTATTTATCTGCACCACAATAACTGACTAGGAATCACCTCCTCCGTGCAAATTACGAAGTAGCTTTTCAGCCATTTGCTAGACGTTTGAAGCTGTCATGGAGCATATTTCATCACATCTTCAGCTGTCAGAATGTGAACTCCTGGGTCATGCTCAAACTTGCACCTTCTTCCCCCTCACTCTGATCCAGGTCCAGAGCTCAGCATCAAGTGGGCTTGTCCCAGAGAGTCTGCACTCTGCTGCCACGTCGCGAAGAGAGGCGGTGTTCGACTCGCTATCAGGTCTTTCGAGAACCACGGGGGCGGAAAGTTCCGCCGAATCGGCGTTGAGCTCTTGGGTAACAGGCGCAGGGAAACAGGCAGAACGTTCAGCACCGCGGATAGCGCACCGCTGTCTGAAGTTGACCTGTACCCACAGGTAGCTTGGTGGCTTTCAGCACCGCGGACAGCGACCTGGTCCGCCCAACACCCTCAGCTGAGCTTCCATTAGGTGGTACTCAACAACTTGACGACTTTTCAGCACAAAGGACAGCGACCACTCCCAAAGGTGAGATGTTGGACCAACCTGAAGAAGTTGCACTCTGTGAATGGGACAGCAACAGCACAGGAGAAAGATAAAGATGCACTCTTCCCACCAGCTGTCTGAGCATTGCCTTAAAGACTAACCTTTGAATCCACCAGTTTCCTCTTGATAAAGTTCATTTGAGGGACTCGTCAGCCTCAGGCGGCAACTCTCCTACATTTGAATAAGGGATCGGAGACTGCACAAGTGTGTTCAGAAGAGAGAGAGAAAGAGACTGCTAGCCAGTTTCTTGCACATATTTGTAATTTATTTAGTGGCAGGTTTTCGATTCAAACTTTAAAATTCTGTCACAGGTAAAATGTAGTGGAGCACAATTGGGCTGTAGCGCTGGACAAATGACAAAACACCCAAGAAAGCTGTAGAGAAGGCTTTCAGTGGATTTCAATCAGCTGAGAAATTAAGCATCAACTGTTTGTATCACGTATATTTGCACTCAAATAACGAGTGAGGAAAAGAACTTGTATTTCTGTAGCATCTTTCATCATCGCAGGACGGCCCAGAAGTCCTTTACGGTGGACACAGGATCTTTTGAAGTTCCAATATAGGAAACACATCCACTAATCTCGGCACAGCAAGATCCCACAACCAGTATTGCTGTAAAGGCCAGTTCTATGTGTGCTTTAGTGACAACAGTTGAGGGATGGATTTGGCCCTGGCATATTATGGAAAAGTCTGAACCCAAATTAGTCTTCAATAGATTGCCTGTGAGATCTTTTAATTCATCTGAGGAAGCAAGTCACTGCCTCGGGGTAATGTGTCATTATAACTTTGGTATTAACGACAATCAAAGCCATAATTAAGTTCAAAAGCCTGCAATTAATTGTTTCTTAATTGTAGAGTAGAATGTTGTTTTACCTTGGTGTAATGATGATTGGGTCAGATCTCGACAATGCGACAAACAATGATTACTTGGAGATTAACAGCACTTCAGCCTTTGAACCAGGCAATTTTGGTCCCGTGGGAGCCTTCTACACCATTTTACAAATCTCCATAGCACTGATATACTCTGTCACGTGTGTCGTGGGGATTTTGGGAAACCTCCTGGTCTTGTACCTCATTCGAGGTCTCAGCAAGCAGAGCCAGTCCACCATTAACCTCTTCGTCTTCAACCTAGCCCTGACCGACTTCCACTTTGTCCTAGTGCTGCCCTTCTGGGCGGTGGAAATTATCCTGCACCACATCTGGCCCTTTGGCCTCGCCATGTGTAAGCTGGTCCTCTTTGTCACCGTGCTGAACATGTATGCAAGTGTCTTTTTCCTGACCGCCATGAGCGTCAGTCGCTACTGCTCAATGGTGCAAACTCTCAGACCAGGCAGGACCCCCTTCCGGCCCTGCATGGTCAAGTGGATCAGCCTGGCGATCTGGCTTACAGCTATTGCTGCAACCTTACCTCTGACCATATACTCCCAGACTGTCAGTATCTATGGCAATGAACTGTGCATCCAGAAATTCCCAGATGGACAATATTTCCTGGCATTCCAGCACATTCAAAAGATCATACTGGCTTTCATAGTCCCTCTGGCAATCATAACCATTTGCTATTTATTGCTTATAAAATTTCTACATGACCACAAACTGAGTGGCATCAATGTGAAAAGGCAATCCAAAGTCACCAAGTCTGTCATCTTGCTGGTAATGTCCTTCCTCCTTTGCTGGTTACCTAACCACATGATAACCTGCTGGGGAGTGCTGGTCAAATTGGAATTGGTCCATTGGAGCAGAGCGTACTATATTGCTCATACCTACATCCACCCATTGACCATCTGCCTGGCCAACACCAACAGCTGCCTCAACCCCATCATCTACTGCCTGATGCGGAGGGAGTTCAGGGAGGTGGTGAAGAACATCTTCCGAAGGATCTTCTCCATCAGTTACCTGTGGATGCGGCAAGGTGCCGCTCGCTACCGGGGTCAACATGAAACCAGCCAGGTCAGCATCCCCTTGAACCAAATGAACAGCCAGCCGGAATCCAATGCCCCCAGTCAGAGATGTAACACGTTGCCTGCCACCACCTCCAGTCTTGTACAACGGAACTGAAGGCCGTGCTCAACAACTGGCCACTCGGGGGCGCCCAACCTGTGGACTACATCAGAGACAGTGAGAACTGCCAATGCTGGAGTCTGAGATAACACAGTGTGGAGCTGGAGGAACACAGCAGGCCAGGCAGTATCAGAGGAGCAGGAAAGCTGATGTTTCGGGTCGGGACCCTTCTTCAGAAAAAAGAAAATCAATTGCTCGGTCTGATAGAAACACAATACTGTATGTATATATATGTAGCCAGTTTGAAAGGGGTTACATACAATCTGCAGCAGTGAAACAGACCATTCAGCCCTCCTAGCCTCCTCCTTAGTCTCACCCCTATCCATTTCCAATGCTTTCTCCCTTGTAAGGAATGACAGACTGGTATTGGAGGCAGCCCAGAGAAGGTTCACTAGGTTGATCCCAGGTATAGAGGGTTTTTCTTCTAAGGAGAGGTTGAGTAGTTTGGGCCTGTACTCATTGGAGTTTAGAACATGGATGGGAAAGATTTAGAGAGATGTGGGCCAAACGTGAGCAAATGGGACTAGTTCAGCTTAGGAAACCTGGTTGGTAAGGACAAGTTGAGCTGAAGGTTCTGTTTCCGTGCTATATGACACTACGACTCTATAAGAATGAGAGGTGCCCATATTGAAACATATAAGATATTTTGGGGACTTGACATGGGAAATGTGGAGAGGTAGTTTCTCCTTGTGGGGGAGTTGGACCAGAGGGCACCATCTCAGAATAAGGGGGTCGCCCACTCAATACAAAGATGGGGAGAATTTATTTTCGCTCAGAGGGGAGTGAATCATTATTGCAGAGGGCTGTGGAGGCTGGGTCATTAAATATAATTCAAGACTGATGTAGATAGATTTTTAATGACGAAGGGAATCAATGACCTACATTGGCTCCTACATCTTATCATCTCACGGGGTTTAGCCAGCTTCTCATTTCCATTACTGACTTTGACTACTCCCTGTGGGAGCAAGTTTCCCATTCTAACTGCTTTCCAGTAAAATAAGTGACTCCCAATCTCCTATTGTACAATTCAGTGACGATTGATGGCCCCCACCCCACCCTAGTTTCAACCTCCCCTAAATGTTTTGCCGCAAGTGTACACAATTTATGGCTACTCTGTCACAACCTTTCATAATTTTAAAAGACTACTGCGGTCTTCCGTAAGATGTGAGAACTGAAGTAGGACATTCAGCCCCTCAAGCCCGGCCCACCATTCAATTAGATTGAGGCAAATCTGACCATCCTCAACTCCCACTTTCTTGCCTTTCCCCAGACCCCTTCCCAATTAAAAATCTGTCTGTCTCAGTCTTGAATATACCTAATGACCTTTGCAGTAAAGATTCCACAGATTCACTCTCCTTGGAGTGAAGAAATTCCTCCTCATCTCCATCTTCAATGACTGACCCCTTATTCTGCAATCATTTCCTCACAGTCCTGGACTCTCCCACAAGGGGAAACAATCTTTCTATGTTTGTTGTTGAGCCCTTTGTTCAGGAAACTAATCCAAAGTTGTTCAATCTATCCTTTGCCCCTTTAGATTTGATGTTCTAAATCTTCTTTGATTTGCATGCCTCTCTATCATTTCTACCATACAAGGATGCAAACTGCCAAAGTTGAGGGTAGATCTTTCGTTGAGTCGCACAAGGATGTCCTACAAAGGATCATAATTTCCTTTCCTCATTGTTTCCTGCTCAATCCCAGTCAACTTCATAGTTCTTGGATGGAGGCATTATATTCTGGCAGGGAGCTATCGAAGGGTTACCTACCACAGTAAGACTATCAACAGTGGCAAAGACATTGGGCTGCTATGCATTGGGTATCCAGTTTTGGAATCCCCATTTTACAAAAGATAACAAGATCTCTGAAAGGGTACAGAGGGAGAACTTCCCCCAGAATATGATCCGGGGATGAGGGAGAGACTGGGGGAAGTCAGGATCATTCTCCTCAGAAATGGTTAAGGGGGAAGATTTGCGAGAGGTGTTTCAATCGAAGGGACAGGGGAGAGAAGCCATTCCCACTGGCAAGAGGGTCAGACACCAGAGGGCGATGCAGACTGAAGCGAATTGGGAAAAGAACCTGAGGAAAGGAAGATGAGGCAATTTTGATTTCTTTTTGCCACAGTGATCTGGGATGCGCTATTTTATAAGATTCATTCGCAGGATGAAGGCATCACTGGCTAGGCAGCAATGATTGCCCATCGCTAACTGCCCAGAGGGCAGTGAAGAATTTATCACACTGCTATGGATCTGGAGTTACATGTAGGCCAAACCAGATAAGGATGGCAGTTTCCTTCCCTAAAGGACATTAGTGAACCAGATGGGTTTTTCCCAACAATGGTCCTCATCAGACTCTTAACTCCAGATTTTTATTGAATTCAAATTCGACGTGACAGGATTTGGACCCAGGTCCCCACAACATTACCTGGGTCTCTGGATGAACAGCCCAATGGTAATAGCCCCCTCTCCACTGCCTGAAAGGAGGCAGATTCAACAAAGGAGGTTGAGGTGGAGAAATCCTTAAAGAGGCCAAAGGATTTTGCAGAACTTGATGGGAGATTCGAAGGGCTGGCACAAGCTCAATGGGCCAAATGGCCTCCTCCTGTGCTGCGTGGGTCAAGGATGCCTACAACCCAAGAAGAGTTCAATCATTTGAATGCGTTGAGTTGAGCAGAACGGCCACTAGATGGCGACATTGCAACACACAATGAGGAACTGGTCTCATGAAGCAACTGAGAGCTTTCTTTGAAGACAGAGATAACACAGTGTGGAGCTGGAGGAACACAACGTTTCAATGTCAACTTTCCTGCTCCTCTGATGCTGCCTGGCCTGCTGTGTTCCTCCAGCTCCACGCTATGTTATCTCTGACTCCAGCATCGGCAGTTCTTACTGTCTCTTTCTTTGAAGTCATCTGTCAATGTTCTTCAGAAGGAAGGGTATTGGAAGAACTGTACTCCAAATGTCTGTTTTAGTGCAAATGAATGTTTAAAAGTTTTTTGTTTGCAGACATTGAAAATCAAGAGGTTGCGGGCAGGATTTTAATCGAGGAAAATGAGGGAGAATGCGTTCCCGCCAACAGAAGGGTCAGTCCCAGAGATGGGGAAAGATCACAGATTGAAGGAAATAGGACCAGAGTTGGGGGGAGCAGGAGAGAGAAGGAGAATTTGTTTGTTGACACAGCAGGTTGTTGTGGTCTGGGACGCGCTGCATTAAAGGGGAGCAGGTTCATCACGAAAGGATTGGGATGGGGAGAGAGAGTGGGAGAAATATTTAAAAGGGGGAATTTGCAGGGGCTGTGTGAAGTTCGAATCATAGAATTCCTACAGTGTGGAAGCAGGCCATTTGGCCCATCCAGTCCATGCCAACCCTCTGAAGGGCCATCCCACGCAGACCCAACCCCACCCATGTAACCCTGCATTTCCTATGGCCAATCTACCCTAACCTGCACGTCTTTGGAGTGTTGGGGGAAACCCACGCAGACATGGGGAGAATATGCAAAGTCCACACAGACAGTCACTTGAGGGTGGAATTAAACCCAGGTCCCTGGTGCTGTGAGGCAGTGGTGCTAACCACTGAGCCACATGTGCTATCCCAATTCATAGGGCTATTCGGAACGGTCTTTCAAACAGCCTTCAGAGGGGCGATGGGCTGAACTGCCTCTTCCTGTGCCGTCCTGCCACAGTAACCTTCATGGCAAGTTATGGATAAAGAATATAAGGGGTGGGGTGGGGGAGAATGTCTTGAAGCTACTAGTCCGACAGTTTGTGTTAAAAAGATGACTGGTTTCCAAGTGGAGGTGAGTGACTAGTGGCTCAGTGGTTAGCACTGCTGCCTCATGGTGCCAGGGTCCCAGGTTCACTTCCACCCTTGGGTGACTGTCTGTGTGGACTTTGCACTTTTCCCCGCTGTGTGCGTGTGGGATTCCTCCGGGTGCTCAGGTTTCCTCCCACGGTTCCAAAGTTGTGCAGGTTAGAGTGGATTGGCTGTGCTAAATTGCCCCGTGGTGTGCAGGCTAGTTGTGTTAGAAATGCAGGGTTGCAGAGATAGGGTGGGATACCCTTCAGCAGGTCAGAATGGACTCGATGAGCTGGACGGCCCGTTTCCACGCTGTAGGGATCCTATGATACCAGCTTCTGTCACAGTGTGAAGCATTTACAGTAACCTGATGGGTGAGAGTGCAAGATCGATACACCTTCCTAGTGAGGAAAGAGAGAATAACTGATGCAGGAACTGTAAGGGTATGGGGAAAAACGGAGATAACTCAGTAAAACTGACTCACAATATTATGGCAATTGCTAAGTCTAGTTACTAGTTGAGTGGTTATAAGCTCTTCTGCGCCCATCAAATCTTCAAATCTCCACAACCCTTCCAGTTCTGGCGAGCGCTTCAGCCAAAGTGAGTTATGTAATTCCTCGATAGTCCTATTGAGGGGAATAAAGGTTTGCAAAGTGTTGGTGATCAATGAATGGTTTCTGAGCAGTTGCTACGCAAACACAGCTCACTCGCTGACAATGACAGATTGGAACTATGTCATCATCTCCCCTCCAGGGCTGCCTCTTTCAAGCAAGGGGTGCCCCCCTCCCACTCCTGGTTTCAGACTCCCGCTGTCAATTGGCAAAGGAGCTGCCCCCTTCCCCTCCTCCGGGAGTCTCTAACCGCAACTGAGTCATCGCTGCAGGAACCTGGTGCCAGGCCGGGTCAGAGAATCCTGGGTCTCGCCAGTCCCTCAACATCAAGGGGGGAAAGGTCCCAATGGTCTTCCAAGACTTGGCACCTTTCTGGTGCCAACTGCAGATTGTCCAAACATCCAGCACTTCTGCAGAGCGGCGATGGATGCTCTCCGATTCAACTGAGACCTCAGGGCTAGTGTCTGTTCGGATAAATCACCCTCATCAGAAAGGATGTCGTTAAACTAGAAAGGGTACAGGAAAGATTTACCAGAATGTCGCCAGGACTGGAGGGTTTGAGTTATAAGGAGAGGCTGGGACTTTTCTCCCTGGAGCA